AAAATTTATCGCACAGAATTTTCCTAAACCAAAAGATCAGATGGATACTAGCAATGATGTTGTATTGTAAAAATTGATTATATATATACAAAAAGGGCGTTCATCAGATTGTGAAGGAAGGCACCTTTTGGGGTTCTGTCCAAAAAGCTGAAAGTTTAGTAGATTGTTTTTTTTGAAAAAGTATTTAAAAAAATGTCAAAATTTTGGAAGAGAAAATTAGTCAAAATGATGCATTTGGGGGTTAGTTATTATTGGTAGATAAAAAAAAAGGATTAAAACCCCAAAATCACGGTTTAGGTTATGTTTGGGTTTTAATATCCAAATAGGAAATAGAAAAAATTTTAAAATTTGGGGGATGTTACAAATGAAGTTGGGTTTGTTCTGCCTTTTGCCATTTTTACAATGTAGGGCACCCCCTTTTGCAATATGATAGCCCGGGGTCAAGCCCCCCCCCCCCTCCCTCTAAGAAGGATGGAAAAATCTTGATCTTGGTTTGTCGAATTTCGGAAAAATTTCGATTCGTGCCGAATCCGAAAAACAGCCTAATTCGGACGCGCGAATCGAAATTTTTCCGAAAATGGCGGCTGACATGTGCGGCGACGGAGCGGGGATGTCGGGGAAGGCGCGCAGACAAGGCGCGCTGCCCCATAATGCATTCCTCAACGACATGTGATCGCATCAGCCAATCAGCAGCCAGCCAGCCAGCACTGTGTAATGGTCGAGGTATATATAGCGGCCATTTTGGAAATCTTCATTTGCCTGCAGTCATTGAACAGAGGCAGACCGCTCTGTACTAGGGACAGGGACAGAGTTAGGGCCACAGAAACGAGAATTGGGGACAGAGAGAAGTTACTTAGGGACAGAGAACCATTACTCAGGGACACAGACTTGTTAATGAGGGCCACAGAATCGTTATTTAGGGACAAAGAAACGCTAGTTAGGGCCACAGAATTCATACTCAGGGACAGACAGAATTGTTACTCAGTGCCAGAGAATTGTTACTTAGGGCCACAGAAACGTTATTAGGGCCACAGAATTTTTACTCAGGGACAGACAGAATTGTTACTGAGTGCCAGAGAATTGTTACTCAGGGACAGACAGAATTGTTACTGAGTGCCAGAGAATTCTTACTCAGGGCCACAGAATTCATTCTCAGGGACAGACAGAATTGTTACTCAGGGACAGACAGAATTGTTACTGAGTGCCAGAGAATTGTTACTCAGGGACAGACAGAATTGTTACTGAGTGCCAGAGAATTGTTACTCAGGGACAGACAGAATTGTTACTGAGTGCCAGAGAATTGTTACTCTCACAGACACAAAATTGTTACTTGCACAGACACAGAAATTGTTACTTGCACAGACACACAATTGTTACTCAGGGCCACAGAATTCATACTCAGGGACAGACAGAATTGTTACTGAGTGCCAGAGAATTCTTTACTCAGGGCCACAGAATTCATACTCAGGGACAGACAGAATTGTTACTCAGGGACAGACAGAATTGTTACTGAGTGCCAGAGAATTGTTACTCAGGGACAGACAGAATTGTTACTGAGTGCCAGAGAATTGTTACTCTCACAGACACAAAATTGTTACTTGCACAGACAACAGAATTGTTACTTGCACAGACACACAAATTGTTACTCAGGGCCACAGAATTCATACTCAGGGACAGACAGAATTGTTACTGAGTGCCAGAGAATTGTTACTCAGGGACAGACAGAATTGTTACTGAGTGCCAGAGAATTGTTACTCTCACAGACACAAAATTTGTTACTTGCACAGACACAGAATTGTTACTCGCACAGAGACAGAATTGTTACTCAGGGCCACAGAATTCATACTCAGGGACAGACAGAATTGTTACTGAGTGCCAGAGAATTGTTACTCAGGGAGACAGAATTGTTACTGAGTGCCATAGAATTGTTACTCAGGGACAGACAGAATTGTTACTGAGTGCCAGAGAATTGTTACTCTCACAGACACAAAATTGTTACTTGCACAGACACAGAATTGTTACTCGCACAGAGACAGAATTGTTACTCAGGGCCACAGAATTCATACTCAGGGACAGACAGAATTGTTACTGAGTGCCAGAGAATTGTTACTCAGGGACAGACAGAATTGTTACTGAGTGCCAGAGAATTGTTACTCACAGACACAAAAATTGTTACTTGCACAGACACAGAATTGTTACTTGCACAGACACAGAATTGTTACTGAGTGCCAGAGAATTGTTACTCAGGGACAGACAGAATTGTTACTGAGTGCCAGAGAATTGTTACTCAGGGACAGACAGAGAGAATTGTTACTCAGTTACTGAGTGCCAGAGAATTGTTACTCAGGGACAGACAGAATTGTTACTGAGTGCCAGAGAATTGTTACTCTCACAGACACAAAATTGTTACTTGCACAGACACAGAATTGTTACTCGCACAGACAGACAGAATTGTTACTCAGGGCCAGAATTCATACTCAGGGACAGACAGAATTGTTACTGAGTGCCAGAGAATTGTTACTCAGGGACAGACAGAATTGTTACTGAGTGCCAGAGAATTGTTACTCTCACAGACACAAAATTGTTACTTGCACAGACACAGAATTGTTACTTGCACAGACACACAATTGTTACTCAGGGCCACAGAATTCATACTCAGGGACAGACAGAATTGTTACTGAGTGCCAGAGAATTGTTACTCAGGGACAGACAGAATTGTTACTGAGTGCCAGAGAATTGTTACTCAGGGACAGACAGAATTGTTACTGAGTGCCAGAGAATTGTTACTCTCACAGACACAAAAATTGTTACTTGCAGTGCCAGAATTGTTACTCGACACAGAATTGTTACTCGCACAGAGGACAGACAGAATTGTTACTCAGGGCCACAGAATTGTTACTCAGGGACAGACAGAATTGTTACTGAGTGCCAGAGAATTGTTACTCAGGGACAGACAGAATTGTTACTGAGTGCCAGAGAATTGTTACTCTCACAGACACAAAATTGTTACTTGCACAGACACAGAATTGTTACTTGCACAGACACACAATTGTTACTCTCAGGGCCACAGAATTCATACTCAGGGACACAGACAGAATTGTTACTGAGTGCCAGAGAATTGTTACTCAGGGACAGACAGAATTGTTACTGAGTGCCAGAGAATTGTTACTCTCACAGACACAAAATTGTTACTTGCACAGACACAGAAATTGTTACTCGCACAGACACACAATTGTTACTCAGGGCCACAGAATTGTTACTCAGGGACAGACAGAATTGTTACTGAGTGCCAGAGAATTGTTACTCAGGGACAGACAGAATTGTTACTGAGTGCCAGAGAATTGTTACTCAGGGACAGACAGAATTGTTACTGAGTGCCAGAGAATTGTTACTCTCACAGACACAAAATTGTTACTTGCACAGACACAGAATTGTTACTCGCACAGAGACAGAATTGTTACTCAGGGCCACAGAATTCATACTCAGGGACAGACAGAAATTGTTACTGAGTGCCAGAGAATTGTTACTCAGGGACAGACAGAATTGTTACTGAGTGCCAGAGAATTGTTACTCTCACAGACACAAAATTGTTACTTGCACAGACACAGAATTGTTACTTGCACAGACACACAATTGTTACTGAGTGCCAGAGAATTTACTCAGGGACAGACAGAATTGTTACTGAGTGCCAGAGAATTGTTACTCAGGGACAGACAGAATTGTTACTGAGTGCCAGAGAATTGTTACTCAGGGACAGACAGAATTGTTACTGAGTGCCAGAGAATGTTACTCACACAGACACAACAGAATTGTTACTTGCACAGACAGAGAAATTGTTACTCGCACAGACACAGAATTGTTACTCAGACACAAGAATTGTTACTCAGGCCACAGAATTCATACTCAGGGACAGACAGAATTGTTACTGAGTGCCAGAGAATTGTTACTCAGGGACAGACAGAATTGTTACTGAGTGCCAGAGAATTGTTACTCTCACAGACAGACAAAATTGTTACTTGCACAGACACAGAATTGTTACTTGCACAGACACACAATTGTTACTTGCTCAGCCACAGAATTCATACTCAGGGACAGACAGAATTGTTACAGGGCCAGAGATTTGTTCTGAGTGCCAGAGAATTCTTACTCAGGGCCACAGAGATTCATTACTCAGGGACAGACAGAATTGTTACTCAGGGACAGACAGAATTGTTACTGAGTGCCAGAGAATTGTTACTCAGGGACAGACAGAATTGTTACTGAGTGCCAGAGAATTGTTACTCTCACAGACAGACACAAAATTGTTACTTGCACAGACACAGAATTGTTACTTGCACAGACACACAATTGTTACTCAGGGCCACAGAATTCATACTCAGGGACAGACAGAATTGTTACTGAGTGCCAGAGAATTGTTACTCAGGGACACCTAATCGTTGAATTAAATAGTATGTCAGACAACATGCAGAGGAGTGGCAGAGGAGGCAATGTTTTTAGGAGCGAGCAGACGTGGCAGCAGAGGAAGGGGGTCGAGGCAGCAGTATTCGCAGCCAGAGGCCAGTGCTCCCGGTGTCATCCAGCGGTCGTGTCTCCACCGACAACCCTGCCGTCATTGATTGGTTGGCTCGGTCGTCTTCCTCTTCCCAGGTCACCTCTGACACCTACAGCCAACGGTCGGTGGGTACGTCAGACACAACAACGTTAGTTGGCATGGCCCGGGACCAAGCCCACTGAAATCACGTGTCCTCTACTACCTGCCCCTGTCCTTTGCTGTTCCCTCACCAAGCGAAGTATCGCATGCTGTGGGCTCAGCCCCACTGTACAGTGAGGAAGAGCTAACAGAGGGCGGTCAGGAACGGGGGGAGACATCGGCCTTTTCAGCAGCGGCCAGGCGAAGATGTACTGGCGAGGAGAGTGACATAGGGTGCTGGCAGATTACGGACCTCCCATAGCTGCTTACCAGGCCACTAATCTGCCATGGGCCCCTATATACCGCCTCCTCATGCTGCTGCCCAAGTCCAGAGTCTCTCATGGGTCCCTGTACGGCCTCCCATTGCTGCTGTCTCCATCGCCACACTCTGCCATGTGCCACTTTCAGGTCTCTCACACACTGCTGGGTGTGTTTAATTTTTTTGACATAGGGTGCAGGCAGATTACGGGCCCCACATAGCTGCTGCCCCTAATCAGGCCCCTAATACTGCCATGGGCCCCTATATACCGCTGTCTCCATCGCCACACTCCTGCCATGTGCACTGCTGCTGCCAAGTCCAGAGTCTCTCATGGGTCCTGTACGGCCTAATCCATTGCTATATACCGCCTCCTCATGCTGTGTCTCCATCGCCACACTCTGCTGCCATGTGCCACTTTCAGGTCTCTTCACTCTTCACACTGCTGGTGTGTGTTAAATTTTTTGACATAGGGTGCAGGCAGATTACGGGCCTCACATAGCTGCTGCCAGGCCCCTAATCTGCCATGGGCCCCTATATACCGCCTCCTCATGCTGCTGCCAAGTCCAGAGTCTGTCATGGGTCCTGTACGGCCTCCCCATTGCTGCTGTCTCCATCGCCACACTCTGCTGCCATGTGTGCCACTTTCAGGTCTCTTCACACTGCTGGTGTGTTAAATTTTTTGACATAGGGTGCAGGCAGATTACGGGCCTCACATAGCTGCTGCCAGGCCCCTAATCTGCCATGGGCCCCTATATACCGCCCTCCTCATGCTGCTGCCAAGTCCAGAGTCTGTCATGGGTCCCTGTACGGCCTCCCATTGCTGCTGTCTCCATCGCCACACTCTGCTGCCATGTGCCACTTTCAGGTCTCTTCACACTGCTGGTGTGTTAAATTTTTTGACATAGGGTGCAGGCAGATTACGGGCCTCACATAGCTGCTGCCAGGCCCCTAATCTGCCATGGGCCCCTATATACCGCCTCCTCATGCTGCTGCCAAGTCCAGAGTCTGTCATGGGTCCCTGTACGGCCTCCCATTGCTGCTGTCTCCATCGCCACACTCTGCTGCCATGTGCCACTTTCAGGTCTCTTCACACTGCTGGTGTGTTAAATTTTTTGACATAGGGTGCAGGCAGATTACGGGGGCCTCACATAGCTGCTGCCAGGCCCCTAATCTGCTGCCATGGGCCCCTATATACCGCCTCCTCATGCTGCTGCCAAGTCCAGAGTCTCTGGGTCCCTGTACGGCCTCCCATTGCTGCTGTCTCCATCGCCACACTCTGCTGCCATGTGCCACTTTCAGGTCTCTTCACACTGCTGGTGTGTTAAATTTTTTGACATAGGGTGCAGGCAGATTACGGGCCTCACATAGCTGCTGCCAGGCCCCTAATCTGCCATGGGCCCCTATATACCGCCTCCTCATGCTGCTGCCAAGTCCAGAGTCTGTCATGGTCCCTGTACGGCCTCCCATTGCTGCTGTCTCCATCGCCACACTCTGCTGCCATGTGCCACTTTCAGGTCTCTTCACACTGCTGGTGTGTTAAATTTTTTGACATAGGGTGCAGGCAGATTACGGGCCTCACATAGCTGCTGCCAGGCCCCTAATCTGCCATGGGCCCCTATATACCGCCTCCTCATGCTGCTGCTGCCAAGTCCAGAGTCTCTCATGGGTCCCTGTACGGCCTCCCATTGCTGCTGTCTCCATCGCCACACTCTGCTGCCATGTGCCACTTTCAGGTCTCTTCACACTGCTGGTGTGTTAAATTTTTTGACATAGGGTGCAGGCAGATTACGGGCCTCACATAGCTGCTGCCAGGCCCCTAATCTGCCATGGGCCCCTATATACCGCCTCCTCATGCTGCTGCCTGCCAGTCCAGAGTCTCTCATGGGTCCCTGTACGGCCTCCCATTGCTGCTGTCTCCATCGCCACACTCTGCTGCCATGTGCCACTTTCAGGTCTCTTCACACACTGCTGGTGTGTTTAAATTTTTTGACATAGGGTGCTGGCAGATTACGGGCCTCACATAGCTGCTGCCAGGCCCCTAATCTGCCATGGGCCCCTATATACCGCCTCCTCATGCTGCTGCCAAGTCCAGAGTCTGTCATGGGTCCCTGTACGGCCTCCCATTGCTGCTGTCTCCATCGCCACACTCTGCTGCCATGTGCCACTTTTTCAGGTCTCTTCACACTGCTGGTGTGTTAAATTTTTTGACATAGGGTGCAGGCAGATTACGGGCCTCACATAGCTGCTGCCAGGCCCCTAATCTGCCATGGGCCCCTATATACCGCCTCCTCATGCTGCTGCCAAGTCCAGAGTCTGTCATGGGTCCCTGTACGGCCTCCCATTGCTGCTGTCTCCATCGCCACACTCTGCTGCCATGTGCCACTTTCAGGTCTCTTCACACACTGCTGGTGTGTTAAATTTTTTGACATAGGGTGCAGGCAGATTACGGGCCTCCACATAGCTGCTGCCAGGCCCCTAATCTGCCATGGGCCCCTATATACCGCCTCCTCATGCTGCTGCCAAGTCCAGAGTCTGTCATGGGTCCCTGTACGGCCTCCCATTGCTGCTGTCTCCATCGCCACACTCTGCCATGCCATGTGCCACTTTCAGGTCTCTTCACACTGCTGGTGTGTTAAATTTTTTGACATAGGGTGCTGGCAGATTACGGGCCTCCTCCATAGCTGCTGCCAGGCCCCTAATCTGCCATGGGCCCCTATATACCGCCTCCTCATGCTGCTGCCAAGTCCAGAGTCTGTCATGGGTCCCTGTACGGCCTCCCATTGCTGCTGTCTCCATCGCCACACTCTGCTGCCATGTGCCACTTTCAGGTCTCCTCACACTGCTGGTGTGTTGAATTTTTTGACATAGGGTGCTGGCAGATTACGGGCCTCCTATAGCTGCTGCCAGGCCCCTAATCTGCCATGGGCCCCTATATACCGCCTCCTCATGCTGCTGCCAAGTCCAGAGTCTGTCATGGGTCCCTGTACGGCCTCCCATTGCTGCTGTCTCCATCGCCACACTCTGCTGCATGTGCCACTTTCAGGTCTCCTCACACTGCTGGTGTGTTTGAATTTTTTGACATAGGGTGCTGGCAGATTACGGGCCTCCTATAGCTGCTGCCAGGCCCCTAATCTGCCGTAGGCCCCTATATACCGCCTCCTCATGCTGCTGCCAGGTCCAGAGTCTCTCATGGGTCCCTGTACGGCCTCCCATTGCTGCTGTCTCCATCGCCACACTCTGCCATGTGCCACTTTCAGGTCTCCTCACACTGCTGGTGTGTTCCATTTTTTGTCATAGGGTGCTGGCAGATTATGGGCCTCCCATAACTGCTGCCAGGCCCCTAATCTGCCATGGGCCCCTATACCGACTCCTCATGCTGTGACGTTGCAACAAGGTGGAATTCAACCCTACATATGTTAGACCGCCTTTACGAACAGCAAAAGGCCATCACAGATTTCCTGATGTTAAAAGCAGATAAAGGTACTCCCTGTGTAACTTAGATGTCAGCCATTGGCAGCTCATGCGTGACACCTGCGCTTGCTCAGGCCCTTTGAGGAGGCCACGCTATTCGTGAGTCGGCAGGACTATGGGATGAACGACGTCATTCCTCTGTTGCACGTCCTGGAACAAATGCTGTTAACAATGGGGTCAGGGTGCGGTAGACGTGGCGCACAGATCTCAACGCCACATGGCCCCTGTGGGGGCAGGACTGGAAGAAGAGGAGGAGGTAGAGGAGGACATTGGTGCTCAGGAAATTATTGAGTGAAATGGGTGGTTTTTTTTCTCAGCGGACAGGAGTGGAGGAGCAGGAGCATCTGGTAGAGGAGGAGGAAGAGGAGACAGAGGACCTAGACGCACCGTGGCAGTATGCTGTGGAGATGGAGGCAGGGAGTCCCTCGCATTCCTTGGCACAAATGGCCCATAGCATGCTCGGTTGCTTGCGTAGCGACAGCCCGAATAATAACCATCAGACAGAGGGATGACTTTTGGCTGTCCACCTTGTTGGACCCTCGCTACCGTTCAAAAATGGTGGCCTTTTTCACACCTGCTGAGAGGGAGGCCAAAATAACGTACTATAAAAAACACCTATGTAGTCAGCTGGTCTCTGCCTGTCTGCGCCAACGTCCATCCTCAGACACTGTGGGCCCTGTGCGCTCGTGTTCCGCTGCCATGGCAGCAGGGGAGGGGTGGGGTGGTAGGAGCAGTGCAGGCAGTGGCAGCTCCACCAGCAGCGGCTGCCTCAGTCTGCAGTCGATGATGAGTAGCTTTCTTCACCAGCGCAGTGAGGAAACTACTAACCAGCCGCAGCAGCAGCAGCAGCATCAGGTGGACCTGGAGCAGGACCTCAAACAACAGGCTTAGGCCTACTTGGACAGCACCCTGCCAACCGAGGTAGACAATCCCCTTGACTACTGGGCAACGAAACTTGACCTTTGGCCCCAACTAGCTGAATTTGCCCTTGAAAGGCTGTCATGCCCGGCCAGTAGCGTGGCATCGGAGCGCGTGTTTAGTGCGGCAGGAGGTATTGCAACTCCGCGGAGGACACGACTGTCCACCCAAAGTGTGGAGAGACTCACGTTTGTGAAAATGAATCAGGCGTGGATTAGTCTGGATTTCAAACCACCAGTTCCTGACACAACTGACTAAATCCGCCATGAATCATGCCCCAAACATGTGCCACTTTCAGGTCTCCTCACACTGCTGGTGTGTTCCATTTTTTGTCATAGGGTGCTGGCAGATTACGGGCCTCCCATAGCTGCTGCCAGGCCCCTAATCTGCCATGGGCCCCTATACCGCCTCCTCATGCTGCTGCCAAGTCCAGAGTCTCTCATGGGTCCCTGTACGGCCTCCCATTTGCTGCTGCCTCCATCGCCACACTCTGCCATGTGCCACTTTCAGGTCTCCTCACACTGCTGGTGTGTTCCATTTTTTGTCATAGGGTGCTGGCAGATTACGGGCCTCCCATAGCTGCTGCCAGGCCCCTAATCTGCCATGGGCCCCTATACCGCCTCCTCATGCTGCTGCCAGGTCCAGAGTCTCTCATGGGTCCCTGTACGGCCTCCCATTGCTGCTGTCTCCATCGCCACACTCTGCCATGTGCCACTTTCAGGTCTCCTCACTGCTGGTGGGTTCCATTTTTTGTCATAGGGTGCTGGCAGATTACGGGCCTCCCATAGCTGCTGCCAGGCCCGTAATCTGCCATGGGCCCCCGTACCGACTCCTCATGCTGCTGCCAGGCCCGTAATCTGTCATGGGCCACTGTTGTCGCTTGTTGGCATATTCCGCTCGTTCAGATGCTCCTTCTCCTGCTACTCCTCTTCACGGATTCCGTCAGCAGTCTTTCTTGGAATCCGTTTCCAAGAGACAACAGTTTGCGAGCACGCACCCGACGGTGCAGAAGCTGAACGTCCTCCTGTCCAAGTTGCTGCTGCCAGGCTCGTAATCTGTCATGCGCCCCTGTACCGCCTCCTCATGCTGCTGCCAGGTCCAGAGTGTGTCATGGGCCCCCGTACCGACTCCTCATGCTGCTGCCAGGCCCGTAATCTGTCATGGGCCCCTGTACCGCCTCCCATGCTGCTGCCAGGTCCAGAGTGTGTCATGGGTCCCTGTACGGCCTCCCATTGCTGCTGCCAGGCCCGTAATCTGCCATGGGCCCCTGTACCGACTCCTCATGCTGCTGCCAGGCCCGTAATCTGTCATGGGCCCCTGTACCGCCTCCTCATGCTGCTGCCAGGTCCAGAGTGTGTCATGGGTCCCTGTACGGCCTCCCATTGCTGCTGTCTCTATCGCCACACTCTGCCATGTGCCACTTTCAGGTCTCCTCACACTGCTGGTGGTTTCCATTTTTGTCATAGGGTGCTGTATGGCCTCCCATTGCTGCTGCCTCCACCGCCACACTGTGGCTCCACACTCTGGTTTTGGCCCCGTGACTGCCCAAATGAGTGAAGTGTGCGGTGATTCTAAGATCGACGGCACTCATCTGCATGTCATACTGACTGACAGTATTATTTCTCTTCCCCAGCAGACTCCAAGGGCATTTAAATTAAAGGTACAGTGTTCTGCACTAATATTAAGTCTCTCTGAAGCCTAGAAACACCCTTTTTTAAGTTAAATTCACAGCGAATTTATTCGACTCGAAGTGGCAACAGCACAGTCTCAAGGATCTCTCACACCAGTCTGTACTCACAAATGTCCTTGAATGATTAGTTGCCTCCTTCCAATATCTTCCAGACACATTCACCTCAATGATACCAGACTAGATCCTCAGACAACAGGCCCCTCAGTCAGCTTCAACAACTTACATCGAAAATTGCCATGATCTCCTCCTAAGGGACATGACACCTCTATTCCAGGTCCCAGATTATTTATACACCTTCCTAGCACCCATCTGTGTAGTCTCCCACAGGGATTGGCTGAGACAGTATAAATATTCATGCTGCCTATTTGCCTTGCTCCACACCTATGTTCCAGAACGACCCAGAAAGTTGTTTTGCAGAAGTAATCAAACCTGCAGCCTGTGAATCACAGAACAGACCTAAACAATCACAAACAGCCACACTGAATACAGTGAGCCCACAACTAAATGTAACTAATCCTAGCTCCTGTCTAGGAGGGTGCTACACTTGTCTGTTTTCATGCAACAAAACTCATGCTATAGGCACATAAAAAAATAACTTTAAAGTGGCTCTAAAGGTAAATGGTTTTTTTTTTTTTACCTTAATGCATACTCTGCATTAAAGTAAAAAAAACTTCTGCATGCAGCTCCCTCCAGCTCCCCTTATACGTACCTGAGCCCAATCTCAATCCAGCTCTGTGCATGAGAGTAGCGCCTCTCTCTCTCCTCACTGGACAGAGAGGCAGCAGTGGGAGGTATTGGCTCCTTCCAATCACAGCCAGTGGGGAGGGAGCTGGGAGAGGCGCACTCTTTGTGTCAATGGACAACAGGGCACATCTCAGGATTGAGCATGTGCAAGTACCCCAATAGCAAGCAGCTTGCTGTGGGGGAACTCGGCAGGGGGGAGGAGTCAGGAGCGCTGGTGGGGGACCCCAGAAGCGGAGGATCAGGGGTGAAAAATCATTGCAAAAGCAGGTAAGTGGAACATGTTTGTCATTAAAAAAAAATCCTTTAGAATCGCTTTAAGAAAAAAACCCCATTTTTTCCAACGGGGCTGGTTTAAAGCTGAAGGGTGACCTTCCATGGCTGAAACAGACAGCTGGGCTGGAGCATTGCAACGGGACATTTGCCCTACAGCTCCTCCATTCATTTCAAGTAGAAGCTATGAATAAAGGAACAAAGAGAAGTAATTTGAATAGCTGTAGATTAGCTATCTACCTGGATAAGTTTGGCCATTCTTCTCTGACCAGTTTGCCAACAGAAGTTTTTGCACTCTCAAACTGTAGAGCAGCAATGGAGAATGTAGTAGAATGTAAATATATAGTAAGTATAGGGGGCCTCAAATGTGGCCCCAACATGTCCAGAAGACCGCACAATCGTTTATTGTGTGTGAATTTTCTATTGGTAATTGGAATGGCAATAAAAAATATTAATAAGTATGGTATATAATATTTAATCATGTTCTGCCTCTATTTTACAGACTGCCTCTTTGCTAGACTGCTGCATTTTTGTGGATTTATCTGCCCCATTTCCTTCTCTGAACGGCATTACAACAAAGTGAAAGTTTTCATTTAGGAAAGCATTTTCCCCCTTTACAATGCGACACACCCAGGAAAAAATAATGCAAATTAATGTAACATTGAGATAAGATTAAGTCAGGTTTGTGTGTGCAGAAATTAGCATGGCGTTGACATTGTTACATCTGTGATTATTAAAATTCAGGAAGACATAGAACTCTTAATTTCAT